AAGGTGGGATCTTCACTGTTTGTCAGGAACTATCCTGACTGTAAGATTTCTGATCTGGCCCCGTACATGCCTGTGAGGCTGATGCAAACAACACAGACAAAGCATTTTTTTAATAGGAAGGAGGAAAACACATTCTTGCACTACCTAGGGGAAGCAGGGTTTTCTGTTTGTTGATTTATACTTCTGTAGGGTCTGCAATATATTTATTTATAGGTTTCCTTTTATTTTTCCTTTTATTTATTTTTATTTTTATCTTATAAACCAGAAATTAAGAGGAAAGTAGAGAAGTGTTGTGGTTTAACCCAGCAGGTGGCTGAGCACCACACAGTCATTTGCTCACTCTTCCTTCCATTCCTAGTGAGATGGGGGACAGAACTGAAAAAAAAAACAACAAAGTAGGACTTGTGGGGTGAAATGGAACTACTTACTAAAAGAAAAGGAAAAGGATAATAGTTAAAACTGTGTGTGTGTATATATATATGTGTGTGTGTACATATACATACACATATATATATGCACCTTACAGCACTATTCACAGTGAAGGGCCCAAGGAGCTGGGAGGGAATAGTAGTAAAATAGCTGACTTAAACTGGCCAAAGGGATGTTCCATACCATATGACATCATGCAGAAGGAGTTTTGAAGGGAGTGAGAGTTCATCTCACTCTCTTCTGCTGCTCAGGGGACAAACTGGGCATCGTTGAGGGGATAGTGAGGAATTGCTTGTGTATCACTTGTTACATACACTCATATGTGACGATGTCATACACTACCCTTTGGCCAGTTTAAGTTAGCTGTCCTAATACTATTCCCTCCCAGCTCCTTGGACCCTTCAGTGTGAATTGCCTTGGCTCTGTACAACACTGCCTAGCAGTAACTATAAACATCGGTGTGTTATCAACATTGTCTTTCTCTGAGAATGAAAACAAAACATCATACCAGACACTCTAAAGAAAACAATTTTGTCCCAGCTGAAACTAAGGAAAGAAGAAAATAAAGGTATGCATAAACCTCACACCCTCAACCTATGCTTCAGGTCCAAAAGATTTAGTAGGACAACTTCTCAAAAGCAATCACCAAATTCAAAATCCTATGGTCACAGTGACTTGACTCCCACTTACAGACATCATAGTCTTTTAGAAATTCTGTTTTTCCACAGACAGACCCCTGCAGTTTTCCGATAGAAAAGGGTATTTTGTTTCTAACCGCTGTGCTGTCTTTGGTTTGCTGAGTGGTTGCTGAGATGGAAAAACAGCAGCCTTTGTATCTACTTTCAGGTCTTGCAATGTGCTTTTCCACCCCTTTCTAAGTGCGAGGAGTTCCATGTATGTTTAGAACATTCTAGAGATAACAAACAAGTCCCAGTGGGTGATTTTAAGTATTTATATTGTCTCCTTTTACAGAGAGAAAACGAACAAGGCATTTCAAATGAAGCTCAGAGAAGCCGAAAAGGAAACCACAGTTTTATTTTTCTCTTTAGATCTTAAGTTCAGTGAGGCCTCATCCCTCAGCACGAATTGTTGTGCTATGCTTTTCTATAGTTTTGAAATATCTCGGGTGACCTAGAGACATTCTGTGAACTCAAATAATCCTGATGTCAACCAAAAGATGCAGATAAACATTCTTTAATTCTCTGCTTCTGACTTTCTCAGATCTCAAGAAAGATACCTGGAGACAAGATGTTCCAGTTTCAGTGGCAGAAGTCTTCTTAGACAATACGTGTTTTGGGAAATAAGGCAGATTGTTTACCCTCTGGCAGTATTTTTACTCTTTTTGTTTCACACAATATATGGGAGAAAATTATCTTCTGATCTCTTGTTCTGTTTATGCCTCTTTTTCCACCTTCCTAATTCCACCCAAAAAGAAAGGTCATTGAGGTGAGACTGATAACAGTGTATTGATGTGGATGTGGCTCTGGGCAGCCTGGTCTAGTGATTGGTGACCCTGCACATAGCAAGGGGGTTGAAACTAGGTGATCATTGTAGTCCCTTTCAACCCAGGCCACTCTATAATTCTGTGATTCTATGATATGCACTACAGTGCATGTATCTGTGCTCAAAAGTTTTTAGCTCTTCTTTTACTTCCCTCAATCACAAATCTGTTCTTGAAGGTTCTACCAGATAAACAGGAGCATCCTGGAGGCACTTTAACTTAAGTGGCCACAAAGGATTAACATTTCAGTTCATTCTCTGTAAGTGGGTCAGGCCATGCAGGCAGCAGAAAGTATCAGTGATATAAGGTGCTTCTTCCATACTACAGTATTAAGTGCATAGCTGGCAGACACATTTTCAGCAAATAGTTTACTCTGGACAGGAAGAAAGATTTGCTATAAAGAAGACAAAACAATTACTCAAACAATGAAGTAGGGGGATCGACTTCAACTCTCAGTACCTTTTATCCAGGAGGTCTTTGTCAGAGGTTGCTTTAATCTCCTTGCTAGAGTGGTGCCAGCTGAGCAAGCAAGGAACACATGAAACTTGCAATAGGTCAGTAACCACACAGAGGCTAACAAAGTTGCTCACGTGCTGAAGCCAGTGAAGCTAACCATGTTCAGGTAAAATGCCTGCCTATTGAGCTTTGCTGGATCAGCAACCTGCTTCCTTTTCCCTCCATAAGGAAAGTGTCTTCTGCCAGACTGACAGAGCTCTACCTTTACACTATGACAAGATAACGCATGAGCAGTATCAGATGCACCCTGTACTAGTTAACAAACCTCTGCTTTTTTAATCGAGTCTAACAGGCCAGACTGGTACATGTAAGCATGTGCCTTTGTCAAATTGTGACCTTCAGCTGACATTACAGCTTCTGTCCTGAAGAGTATGACCTACTCCGTAATTATGTAATGTGACTGCACAACACTTTCAGGGACAGAAATGGGGAAATTCCATGGCAAGTTCAATACTTTGTCCAGGGCCACTAGAATCATCTTCCAGCCATGGAATCTGCTGCAGTGTCACCGAGCTTCTTACAAAAGTGATATAGATAGCAGACAGAATAGGGATTAAACAATGCCTACACCAAAGCATCTTCTCTGTCTGGGATATTTATACACACAAGATTACCATGTACTTTTTGGACAGCTGAACTGTTCTCTTGCTTCCAGTCTTATTCACATGTTGAGTTAATCTGTCTTAAGGAAATTCCATTATTATGTCATAAACATATAAAAATTGCTTTTGTTTAATGTGACATTTGCATTTGGGAAAAAGTCTTTGCTCTGAAGTTCAATTATTGACAAACATGGCTAAGCATGTAAATAGCTCTTTCCCATATCCTCTTCTGTCCTTTTCCTGTAATTTCCATTAGATTTTAAACCACAACTTTTGCAGAGCTACTGCCAATAAAAGACTTTCACCATCCCCACCACAAAACTGTAGATGACATATGCAGAAATGAACACTCAGGGGCAAATTCCCTCTCATTTTTTTATTGATTTCCACCGACATTTTTGCAATGGGAATGGATTTGTCCTTCCACCAGGCATCCAACTTGTTAACTCTTTTGGTTGTTGAAGAAAGCAGATTTGTCAACAAACTGCTTCTTGTAGCACTGATCCTGGCAAAGGACTCTGCATGAACTTTCTGAATCAGGATGTTGTTCATTTCCTAGCTCACCATGGAATTCATTTGAAGCAGGATCATGCCCATAGCTAATGCAGATCCTTTAGAGAAGAAACCACAACAAAGCTAGCAGATGTCAGTAACAACACTTCTGAAGCTGGTTTCCGATGGGCAGTTTACCTTACGTCTAAGAGAGGACGCTTGGTAGAAAACCTCCTGTGATTAAGATTTTCATAATGGTATTCTCTCATGTGGAGTCTCTGGTGTCTATTAACACAGTTGGGTTCACAGTTCAATTATGTGAATTCTTTGAAGTATCATTATGCAGTTAAGCTCATACTCCCAGTTTTTCCCTGAGGTTCCTCTCCTCTCTCCAGACATTAATTTCCAAGGAACTCATAGGAATCTTAATATCTCTGATATCAATGTCAGTGTGTCACAATCAGCCTGCAGTTTCAATAAACATCTGGTGAAAGGGAGTCTAGGGAGAAAGGTACTAAGTGGCAACCAGGCAGTCCTATAGTGTAAGGAAATTTTTTTTGAGAAAACTAAGTTAAACACACCATTATGCACCTCAACAAATGCACTCTGTAATTGCCTGAATCAAACACCATTTCTTGACAAAGTGGAGATCATCTTCTTGCTCCGTTTTCATCATCAGCCTGTAGATTATCAAGCCTTTAAAATCACTCCAGACACAGGACTAATTCGTAGTGGTGATAAGCAAAGAATAATCTTAAGTGTGAGAAACCATATCCTTTTGTTTGCTGCAAATCTATTTGTTTATTAAAAAAATAACCAACCAAGAAAATATCAACTTCTCCCATTCCATAGGAAATCCACTCCTGGGTCTCTCCCTCTCTCTGTCTCACCCTCCTTCTCAACACAAGGCCATGCCTTTCTTCAATTAAGAAAACAATTTTATACACTTGCCTTTTGACCTGAATTCCTCCTCTTCACCACTAATAAAACTTTTAACACAGAAAGCAAGTACCAGTGTTTGGTTTTAATGTTATTGTGTTCACAGTTTTGATTGAATTTCTTTCTAGTGACCAAATATTACTGTAAATTGCAAATTTGTTTTGTTGCCTACTCCAGATGTGAATCTGCATATCCAGAACAGCTAATGCAGTAACACATAGCACTTCATGAAAGTCATGTTATTACCACATACACTGGTCTGCTTGCAAAACTTCTTATTTTAAGCCTTATGGTTTCAAAACCACTCTGTGTTCTTGGACCCCCTGAATCTCAGGCATGCAATCTGAGATTCTGCAGATCCAGATATTATCAAGACTAAATTTAATTACACAGAAGCTATAGAATTTTGGGTAACAACTTTTCAGTGAAGGATTAAAATCAGAAGCCACTAAAGCAGACTTGAGCAATACAGTAAGGAAAGACAGATAAAGAAAACAGTCTGAAAAAAAAAATCAATGTACCTGGAGTATTAGCAGCATTTGAATAATAGAAGGTGGAACTCTTGCTCTGGAACGTGATAATGCATCTTCTAGTTTAATATTGAGGGTAATTATATTCCTAAAGTGCAGAAGAGCCAGCTGCCGAACTGAGGGTTCCTTTCCCTTGGAACAGAAACAAAGAAAAATGGTTATGAATTTTGTGAAAACGAGTTTCCATATCCTCAGTCTTTCCTCCACTTCTGAAGGATTACAAGAACGGTAAACCTGAGTGAAAAGCAGAGGACATACAACAAAGGACACAGAGCAGCCCACAAATCTGCACAGTGAATTTGATTCAGAAATTCTGAATGTGCAGACAATGAATGAGTACAGCTACATATGAAGATTATGAGAGATGGAGGAGGAGAGCTGGAAATCTTATCTGAGTGCAGGATATATAATGACATACTGTACTTTAACATCAAGGAAACATATAGTATGTTAAATAAAAGAAAGTAGGGATGAAAAAGCAGGGCTGGATCTCCAGTATTTCTCAAGATTTTGAGTAGTGGTTGGGCACTCTTCAGTTTATGTTATAATTCCTGACTCAGCCCACCTGTGGATCCCAATGTTCTTCAGCTTCAGAGTTTTCAATATAAGGCAAGAACTAAGCTGAAGTCCCATACTGCATTTTCCAAGATATCTTTTTGCAGTACAAGAAACACACCTTGTCTAGAAAAATCTTATCTGAAAAATGTGATGCTAGCTTTGCCCACAAAGATTAACAGCACATCATTTATGCCTGATGAGAAATTGTAAAACTGTTCCAGTTGCTGGGATTAGGGCTTTTTCCTCGGACATGTGAGGCTGTACATGCATATTCTTGCCTGCAGTTTTGAGTGCCAGTCAAATACCAACACTTCTGAGAAGTCTGGTTTTCAGCTAGCATTGACTTAGATTAGCTTAGAATAAAGACAGACTCCTCCATACCCTCATTCCTTTTCATTTTGTGTAATTATTTATACTAATGTGAAGAAAGCCCCCAGATCTGCTTTGTCACTGAATAGAATTCCAAGAGTGCATGAACATCAGTTAGATTTTTGGAAGTAACCTTAGAACATCAGGGACCTAGATCTATTTGAAATTACCTGGGACTTAGGGCTTTTATCCCCTTCAGGCTTCTTTGAAAATTAAAGCGATTATTTCCATTTAAAAAATGAAAAGATTTGCATTGATAGATTAATTTCAAATGTCTCAAGAACACAACACTGAAAAGAGGTATTTGGTGCAATTTTCAAAAACATTGGAGTTATGATTTAGTTAAGCACTTTTTAAAATCAGGTTAAAAACCTACCTATACTCCTAGGTTACTAAACACTTTGGATTTAGCTTATGTGTCACTTCGAAAAATCATGATGTTCTAACAGATTTTAATATGAACTTCTCTCCACCGTTTTCAAATTTCTACTGTCTGTGAATTAGCACTATATATGATTTCAGAGCACTCCTCTTTCAGAATCAAATTTTCCGTAAAGTTGCAACTTCTCCACTGAATTCATATTTCATGCCTTCAATTAACTCAGTTAATTGCAAAATGGTAATACTGATGATCTCTACACAATCACTTCAGGCATAAAGTCCATTTGGCAAAATTAAAGAAAGTTTCCAAAGCTTTCCTGAATATGTTTTGACAGTGAACACCCAAATAAAATCTATAGGTATCCAAGAGTAACTCTAGAAGGTCACTTACAACTATCTGGGATAAATTCCCTTAGGATTTCAGTAAAAAAACAACACTCTTTTGACCACCAATAAGTTAGAAGTTTGAGCCTTCATTCACATCAGACCAAGTACCTAATACAGATTTGAAATTACTGGAGTCAAACTCTGAACTCAAGTTAACTTGTCTAACTTTAATGACTATTGTTTTCCATTCTAAGTAGTATAGAATTTGACCTCCTTCTCAAAAGTGGGGGTACTTCACAGACATTCATATGGCAGAGGAGGAAATGTGTGTATTGAAGTCAACACAGCTCCATTTTAGTTTATTCTTCAGGACCTTTATGGACTTCTAGTGTGAGCTGACATAAGGACCAGTCATCCTACCTGTACTCTATACCTATTTTTAAAGTTCCCCTTCATCTTTCTCACCCGAGCACTTCAAATCTCTGTTTGCATAAGTGACTTATTTGCATAACTTGTCTATACAGAACAGCTGTAATGGAAGGTTGGCCTGAGGAGAGAGAGTTTAGGATTGCATCAATCTGTTGATGAACCAGTAAGGTTGCTTTTTCCAGTTTTTCAAGATTCTATAGTAACAGTGTAATTTTTCACCTGCACAGGATAGAAAATAGCCTGGAGCATGGGCAGGACATCACTGAAGAAAAAATCCCAGGTTTCAGCTAAGGTATCCAGCAGTTTCTGCCCTGCAAAAACATAAAACGAATTAGTGAACTGTTTTGGTTTTAATCAGCTCACTGAAAACGTGACTCTGCTAGCTTTTTATGAATCATTTACCAGATACTTTCAGTAGCAAGGAATTTGTATTTCTTTCAGAACATCAAATAATTCAATATTTGTGTCTTTTCAGATGACAAAACTAAACTCAGTGACTTGAGATACAAGATTATGCAGAAAAACCTTGTGAAGAATACACAGTCATGACTCCTCCTCTTCCTGCAGTAATATCAACTGGACAAGACTGCAGGAAACAGCAGGAGGAGGACACAGAGATTAAATGTAGAAGCATTCCTGCAGGAAATTTTCCCCCACCATGTTTCTCTCTGCACTTCAAGCCACAAGGCAGCAGAGAAAGCCTCACTCCGTAGAGATGCTTCTACAAAGCAACCCCATAGATTAACCTTTTGGCCTCCTTGCATCTACCCTTACACAGATGATCTCAACCAAGGTCTATGGAAAGCAGAGAATGCTGCAGGCTTTTCACTGTCCTTTAGCTTTCAAAGGATGCATCAAATCTGCAATGACATAAGTTCCCTGTGACGTTCTTCAATTCCTTTCCAGTTGCAGCTACCTAGAAGCCTTCACAGGAGAGGCTGGAGAAACCCTGGATCATACAACCAAACTGAACACCGAGTTCTTCACAGAACATCTTATATAAAACACAGAGGCAAAGGCAGGACCTGAGAGCTACAGGACAGAAATTCTGGCTTGATAGCTGAATGCAGGCCCAAGAGGCCTATGTGAACAGAGGCAACCTCTTCAGTAGCCTTCTGCCCCTCACCCATGAACTGGGGACAACTGCACACACACCAGCAAGTATTCTGGAGATAAATACGTGAATGACATGAGGCATTCAGATATGACAACATGACTTATTAGGATGCAAATTTAATAGCAATCTCAAGACTGGTTTCAGAATCAGAAACTATTCATATTTGTACTACAGCATTAGTTAAGGTTCAGCCAGGGAGCATTTTGTCTAGAATGTACACACATCACTAAGAAAATCAGCATGAAAGCACCTATACTCTGAGTTAGACAAGTGTCAATCTTTATTATGAAATACTTCATCTTGCTGCATTTTTAAATGCATGACAAACAGCAGCAGCTCTGGCCCAGCTGCAACTCCTGGGTTGATGATATAGAGTGCTTTCAGTGACAAATCCAGATCCAGATCACTATGCTATACTGCAGCTGATGATCCACTTCAAGACCTTCATATCTGCAATATCAGACAGGGGTTCTCTCTGTCCTTCACACTCCTGTACTAGACTGAAAAGGGTCTTCTCATTTTCAGGTTTTTTTTTTAATTTGTCTTTTTCCTACCAGCTGTGGAAGTAGTAATTGTAATAAATACCACTGCATTATAAACTCCATACAAAACTGTGTTTCAGCGAGAGGAAACCTGATCTTAATGGAGAACCCAAATAACTCCAAGCCAGAAGGGCAGATTTTTAAAAACAGTTAAATAAATTAGCTCCTCATAAATTTAGGTTAAATGGAAATGAAGCCTTTAAAAAATCTGGAACCAAATGTGGGTGCTGAATATTTAGATTCAGTCCTTTTCAAATTTTGCTCCTAGAATTGTACAAAGTAGAAATACATGGTTGTGATAAGTATGCCTTTAGTACAGCACATTTCTTCCACGTTGTGGGCAGCTTGTTTTGTAAAGGGATGGATTTCTGTGCAGTAGCTTAGACAAGCTGCAGAGATAACTCACCAGTCAGGCCTTTTACTATGGGCTGAGGAGGAATTCCTATAGTGTGGTGATGATTAGCATCTTTCACATTAAGGAATATGACTTCTTGGTCAATTCAAGATTATGTTTTCTTTTACTGTCAGGCATAGAGTCCTATGTTTACCTTAAGTATTTGCTTGATTCAAGAAAGCTAGGTTACTTTAAATGCTCATTTAAGTGAAGGGTAATGCTGTCAGTTTTGTATGACTTGAAATGCACACTGTACTCTTCACAGCATTTCCTGAAGTTAACTGAAAATTCTGAAGGAAATAGAAGGCTGAAATACCATTTTCTCAAAACAAAGGGTGAAATTTTCAGAACTTCCTGCAGACCAAAACCACTCCAATGTGTGCTCTCAAATGATCTGTTCTCCTCTGAAGAATTCAACACTGAGTTTACATGGACACCCATACCATCAGATGCAGGAAAACCTGAGATTTGAGGGAAGGACCACTACAGACCAAGGAGGGGGGACCTGCTCTTAATGGGAGCTTCCTTCTGGGCTCCCAGTTTAGTGGCAGATATTTTCAGAGAGGAATGTGGTCAGCAAATACGGGATGGACTCTACAGTGTTGCACCTTTGCTGCTGTGAAACCAGATTCCAGCCCTGGAAACTCACATTGACAAGGTAAGGCAATAGAAGAGTTTGTGCCAGGAAGATTTCTGCCTCTAAATTAGATTCCTGAACTGCAGCTACCTTCCCATATCCTTTAGTGAGTTGACATTTCCATGGTTTTTTTCCTAAGTGTATGTTTAGTCGACTTAATAGTAACCAGCAGTTCTGATCATATTTTAAAGAGAAAACATGAAATGATTCACCAAATTAAAAAAATAAATTCCCAGCTTGCTGAAATTTTGGTATTTAATAAAAGCACTCCTATATTTGAAAGCCACTTACTGGTCTTACATTCCAATTTTTTTTTCTCAGCATAGACATTAAACATCAGTAGTAGTATTTTTGATTTTCAAGCTAGTAAAACCTTAAGAACAAGGGATTTAACCTTGGTAGTTCTCTGCATCTAATTTACCAATTTGATTCTTAAAAATGACTTTCTTTGTGAATTACAAAGCATCTACAAAGACCTTGAAAGCCTTACAGCTCTGTTTGTGCTCCCCAAGCTGTTATTCCAGGTAACTGAGGAACTCAGTGTTTTGCTCAGAAGAGTTTGAGTACTGTAATGTGAAATTTGTTCTCATTGTGTTGCGTTCTGCGCTACTGTCTTTTTATCAGAAAAGTTGGATCCTATAGCACCATCTTAATCCCATCAACTGTTGTACCAGTAATGAAAGGTCACATTTAAGATTTAGAGATAGCTGAAATAAATGAATGGAAATGGTTGTCTCCAGGATACTGCTAAAACAGTATATTTACACTAAGTGATATTATGACTGCAGGTCTGCTTGAGGAAAGCCACATTTCTTTAAAAAGACTCTTAAAAGATCTTCAGACCTTACATATTCAGTAATCTTTGGAAATATTCCAAAATCATGTCACTTTCTAATGCTGTATGCCTACATCTAAAACAAAACAGCATACTGAATAACACATCTAAAAGCTGCAGAATAATATAGGACATGAAATGAGAGTGGCCATCAATAGGAAGCATTGGTTGAAAGTTGACCAGGCAAAACACATCTGCCCCTGCTGCATTTTTCCCATGCACTGCTCCTGGCACATTGAGAAGATACCTTTCTTTCTGTATTCACATAGATCAATTCAAAACCTACCCTGGCTTAAGTTTTTTTTTGCAGTGCTTGCACTGACAGGGAAAAGAATGAGTGGACCCAGAAATGTAGGCTGGGTAAATTATACAACTGTATCAGTGGGAACTAATTCTAATGGGCACATTTCTCCAGATTTGCATAGACAGATTTGCAAATGAAAAAAAAAGCAGAAATTCATTCACACTCACAAATTCATCCCCTGCCTCTGTATTCATTTATTTTAAATTTGGACTGTTCCAAACACAAAAGAAACTACCTTGATGTTTACTGGAGGTGACACCTCCAGAAGGTGCAGGCAGTTTAATGTTGCCTTGACAGTAAAAAAAAGAGAGAGCATCTGACCTCACTGATGAAGCATGAATCCAAAACAACTCTTAAAACAACCCGCAGCACTGCTCTGCATTTTGACAGGCGCTTCAACTAACTTGGATCTCAAAGTTTAGGTTTTTGTTTACTAAACCTAAACACATCATTCTGTTTTTCCTCTTTTCCTTAATATTGAGTAGACTGTAATTGGAGGAGAAAGAAGTGCCTACATCTGAGGTAGCTTTACTCTCTAGCTGTCCTGGGCGGTCACTTCTCCCTGATGAAGGTCAATGGGAACACCATGGTACATCAGAACAACATATTGGAGGAATGGACTGATACCTCTTAATCCACAGTACAGGAGAATTCGCAAAAAGAACTGAGCTGCCTTCAGGAAGCAATGTTAAAACTCCTCTGACAGACATAGATAGCTATGCTAAACTTCAAGTTACCTTCATAAAACCGGATCTTGTCTCTTAGGATCACCATGCCTTTTGTGAGCAGTTGATTCTGTAAATAAAATAAAGACTAACATTACTCAGCCATCATATTTCACCTTTTGATCTTTCTTAACTTCTGACAGTAGATGAGGTTTCATTTTGATGATCAATTACAGAAGGACTTTTCCTGTCGTGTCCAACTTGCTTGGGACACTTTTCAAATAATGCTGTAATCTCCTACTGCTTGCATGACACAGCACCCACTCTGTGCAGTGCAAAGTGCTCCTTGACTTCAAATGTCTGACTGGCACTGCAGGTATTCTGTCTTAGAAAAGAATAGTGCTTCAATAGGTACCCATTACTAACTGTTTTTCCTAGGAACCATACTTACAATGAAATTAGTTGCTTTATTCAGGAATTTAAATTTTAAGTTACAAGTGAATGTCTGAAATCTACTGAAAGATGGTAGTGCTATGCGGAAAACATTGACTGCACAAAGCTACTGCAGGCACTGGGCTTTCACTATCTAAATGCATATATAAACCCCAGATCTCACTTACTCATAAATGACAACATAGAGAAGTCAATGGAAATCTCTAAATGGTTTCAAGTGACTCCGTATTGGCATTTAGATCAGGTGAAGGGATTTTGCTCAGTAGCACATCAAAAAATTTCTGATTAAAAGGGAAGAAAACACATGCCTACCTGTAAATACTCGGTGAAGAAGGATCCCAGTTCTGTTTTCAATAACTGCCTGTATAAAAAGAATATGAAAAGGACCTCTGTAATCAACAAACTGTATTAGCTGCTCACTGTATGAGAAAGGGGAAGACACTAATAAAATATTTTCACACAGCCTGCCAATAAAGGCTAAAAAATTACAACAAACAGGGCCAACAATACTAAGACTCTCAACCAGCATTTCTCTGCTGTTCTTTCAGATAGTTCACTGCACAAACACATACGAAAAGAAACTGAAAGAGGATGTATTCCATCCTACATCTAACCCTTTTAAAAATGCCTGAGCTGTTCTCCTTCTGTGTCAGGGTTTGACTGGCGTCTGGCATTGCAAATGTGGCAGAAGTCTTGGCACTCTGTGACTGTCAGTGTGACTGAGCCAACAAACAGGCATATAACTTAGCTGAGGTGTACTCATAGCCGGATAATTTGTTCTGTGTAACTCCCCCAAAAGAGCCGTGACAAAATGTTTAGAGAGAAATCTGAGACAAGATGATATTCCACAGGTTTTGTTGCAGGTATGAAATGTAGTGAGTTTTCTGACAGGGGCCATGATCTTCAAAGTCAGGATCCATGAAGCTGAAGTTTCATGTAGTTTCAGTGAAAAAGCAGGTAGAAACATAAGAGTTCAACTCTGTGTTTCATGACTCCTTTGCATTAAAACCTACAAACTCATCTCACAGAGCAAATCAAATTCACATCCAAAAAAACACAACCTACCATAAAGAACTTTCATGTTCAGAGCCAGCATTCCTTCAGACCCACAAGCCCAACATTTCCATCCAGACAGAAGTCACCACAAAGCTGAAGAACTGTATATTGTTTAAGTCTCACATATTGGATGCTGGATGTTTAGCACTTCTTTGTACTCATGTCACTGTTAAGATGCACAAGCAAGAGGTCAGACCATTTAAGAGTTTCACTCCAACTGGACTTTCTGAGCTTCTGCCAGTCTGGCCTTGACCTCTTACGGAAACCTGCCCTTGTGTGACCACCTCAGGTCACACAAGAAGGAAGAAATGAGGTAAAATTCAACTCAAAATCTAAAGACCTGCATCAGCTAGACAACTCAGCGCTCTGATCACTTTGTGTAGTTATGTAAACTACACATTTGGTATCAAATCATCATCCATCCCTTTCGGTTATATCTTTAATAAACAAATAAGTAATTGAACAAATTATTGCAACTACTAACCAAATAAATGTCCAGTTTGAAAAGCCCAGCATAATGGCATGATAAGCCCATGCTCCATAAAGAAGCCTGCAGAGTTGTTGTCTGATGCATGGGATTCAGCATAACCTCCTGAGATCTTCTGAAAGTTCAGGGCAAGGAGGGTCAGGTCAATCTTTAGGAGGCCTAAATACAGTATCTTATTTATTTATCTTCAAGTGCATGTCCACACTGACCCCATAGCAAACTAGGGAAACACTCCAGGCATAAAAGAAATGGAAAATAAACACAAAGAAGAGGTTTTTTTTCAGAAGCTTCTAATCATTTAAATCCTTTTTGGTTACAAATCTGATTAACTTAGACAAACTATCTATAAACAAAAGTTATCTAAGCCAGTCCAGGCTTTAGCTGTATGTCTCTCATTGTCATGGATGGCCACTGTATGGCTAGACTTCTCAGCATGCTTGCTGTTGCAACATATGGGAGAGAAGAATCCTTGCAGTATCTCGAGACTCCATCCTTTCCCATATGCATTGACAATCCTATTGTCAAGGTTGAACACCTGCCCTCACAAAACTGTTAAAGCCTTAAAGCATTAGAAGTGTTCACCAGCCCTTACTTCAACAAGTAAAAGGATGCTGTGCATGCCACGCATACTCAAAATGGTAATTTACTGTCCAAGTTGTTTTTCTTCTTGATCACAAGCAATGGAATTAAAGGTTTTTCTTACTTTGAACGTAGATAATTAAGGAATTTTATGTTAAAATAACAAGGAATTTGTGGTTTTGAATTCTACTATGCTAGTGACAATTTATTCCAAGGTATCTCCTTTCACTGCTGTTTCAAAGAAGTACTGGAGCTTCATGCTGACAAATTTTGCTTGAATTTCTACCCTTTCCTCAAGCTAGAAATTCTTTGAAATCTAGTTCTAGTTTCCTCATAGTCTTTAACAGGTGATATGCAAATACTTTCTCTTTTTATTCTTTAGGTTCTACTGATAATTCTTGGCATTTAGAGCAGGAAATACAAAATGATATTCTACTTATCTGATAACTGGCCCTCTGATAAAACAAAATCCCACCCCATTTCCACTTTTCAGCTGCGAATGAACTAAACAACAAGCTTGCAGTTAATTATGTCCTAGAATCATGTTTAAAAGCAAACAAAAAACTTTTTTTACAAATATATTAACAGTAAGAGGAGGGCTAAAGAGAATCTCCATCTTTTACTGGATGCAGTGGGGAACATGACCACTGAGGATAAGGAAAAGGCTGAGGTTCTCAATGCCTTCTTTACATCTGTCTTTAAATGTCAGATCAGTTGTCCTTGGGGTACTCTACTCTCTGGAAGTCTGGAATGAGGAGCATATGTGGGACAACTGGGGGATTAGGCCTAGCCAGCACAGGCTCATGAAGGGCAGGTCCTGCTTGACCAACCTGATCTCCTTCTATGATGTAGTGACCTGGCTGGTGGATGAGGGAAAGGCTGTTGATATGATCTACCTAGATTTCAGCAAAGCCTTTGACACTGTCTCCCACAGAGAGGCTGGCAACCCATGGCTTGGACAGGTACACTCTGCTGGGTAATGAACTGGCTGGAAGGCCAGGCCCAGAGAGTGGTGGTGAATGGAGTTAAACGCAGCTGGTGACCAGCCATGAGTGGTGTTCCCCAGTATTGGGGGGTCAGTGTTGGGGTCTGTCCTGTTCAATATCTTTACTGATGAGCTGGATGAGTGCATTGAGAGCACCCTCAGTAAGTCTGCAGATGACACCAAGTTGGCAAGAAGTGTCCATCTGACTGAGGGTAGGAAGACCCTACACAGAGATCTGGACAGGCTGGATTTATGGGGTGAGGGCAATAGATGAAGTTCAAGAAGACCAAGTGCCAGGTCCTGCACTTTGGCCACAGCAACCCAGGCAACACTAAGGTTTGGGGCAGAGTGGCTGAAAGACTGTGTAGGGGAAACGGACCTGGGAGTATTGATCAATGCTTGGCTCAACATGAGCCAGCAGTGTGCCCAGGTGGCCAAGAAGGCCAAAAGGTATCCTGGCTTGTATCAGAAATAGTGTTACTAGCAGGAGCAGGGAAGTGATCATCCCTTTGTAATCAGCCTCAATGAGGCCACACCTTGAGTACTGTGTTCAGTTTTGGGCCTCTCACTACAAAAAAGTGATAACAAGTCCCTGGAGCATGTTCAGAAACGGGCAACAAAGCTGGTGAGGGGAGCACAATCCTTACGAGGAGCGGCTGAAGGAACTGGAATTGTTTAGTTTGGAGAAGAGGAGGCTCAGGGGTAACCTAAGTTCTGTACAACTACCTGAACGGAGGTTGTGGCAAGCTGGGGGTCAGCCTCTTCTCCCATCTAACTAGCGATACGACGAGGGAATGGTTTCAAGTTGTTCCAGGGAAGATTCAGTTTGGACAGTAGAGAGAATGGTAAGGAGCTGGGAATGGGCTGCCCAGGGAGGTGGTAGAGTTCCACACCCTGGAGATGTTCAAGGAACGTTTAGATATTGTACTGGTTTAGTGGAAAATATTGGTGATATCTGGAAGGTTGGACTGGATGACCTTAGAAGTCTTTTCAAATCTTGGTGATTTTATGACTCTATGATTGTATGCGTTGGACTGCGTTGGACTGCTTCACACTAAGCTGCAGCACAGCTATATTAATATCTCTGGTTACAGGGTAGAAAAATTGACAGCACAATTAATGCATCTTGCTCTTTGAATTCCTAACAAAACAGACACTTCACACTGCTTAATTAATTTCTGGTGAAATAGCGAGGCCCTCGGGCCACATCAGAGCACTGCTGTTTGAAGTTCTCAGCACCATATTCATTTGAGAGTTCCACAACAAAACTGGACAGAAGACATTGCTTGTGCTTTATTCTTCAATCTTTACTTAATTTCCTTTAAAAAAGTCAATTAGGTTGTCACCTGTCAGAAGTTGGAAAATTCAGATTGCTGAGTAAATTTATCTAGATAAGTGGTGTCATGGTGGAATCCAGATAAAGATCTGATTAAACCTATAAGAGATCAGTGACCAGATAGAAGACTTGTGCATCTGATTTTGCTGACAGTCATTATGCAGTTTTATGATCTTTGTATATCATTATTATCAAACTTTCATTGCCTGTTTAATGCCTTCATAAATTAATACGATAGTAAAAATGCACATAAAACACACTAAAATAGCTCCTGTCTTTTTTTATCTTCCTGTTGCTGCTTCCTTGGTTCGTTTTGAGATTCTCTTGAAACATTACTCAGAATCACAGAGTCAAAGAATCACCAAAGTTGGAAAAGAAGACCTACAAGATCTTCATCCAGTCCAACCATCACCAATTGTTCTCACTAAACCGTGTCCCTCAGTGCAACGTCCAAACGTTCCTTGAACACCTCCAGGGTCAGTGACTCCACCACCTCCTTGGGCAGCCCATTCCAGTGCCTGACCACTCTTTCAGAGAAGTAGTGTTTCCTAATGTCCAGCCTGAATCTCCCCTGGCACAGCTTGAAGCCATTCCCTCTGGTCCTCTCACCAGTCACACGAGAGAAGAGGCCAACCCCCAGCTCACTACAATCTCCCTTCAGGTAGTTACAGAGAGCAATAAGGTCTCCTCATTGTATGTAATTGTTTTGAATGCAAAGTCTAAGACAGTAATATACCTGATTTTATCTTTAATAGCAATTAGATTATATCAAGCAAATATAAGAATGTGATCTAACTGGGTTTGAACTTTTGCTACAAAAGAGGAAACATCACTGAAATGTGCTGTGTTTGTATCAATCCATTATCTTGAAACTCAAAAAAAGGGAGCTATAAATGTGTATTAATCTTAACATAGGATACTGTGCTTCCTCTCCATTTCCCTTACCTTCTTTTTCTTCCTTGGTTTACAAGTGGTGTAAATAAACATTTTGAAATGACATATTGTGCATGAAATGAAAATGGAAAATGTACCATCATTTCCACTCTATTGCACAAATAAACCAAGAGAAATACTAAGTAGTAAGTATATGCATAGAGATTTTTGTTACTTAAACTTTTAATCAATTCCCTACTGAATTATCTAGTAAGAGCTCACAAGAAGTAATGTACAAGACATACGCTGATGAGACTCCTCTTAACTGGAGTATCTTCTCCAGTATCTGCATTATGACTCATCTTTATTCAGTTGGTAGGGCAATTTGAAATAAACTGAAATCACACACTGTTTGTTTTTTGTTTTGTTTGTTGTTGTTGTTGTTTTGATAAAGGGCTCCTCAGTTCTATCCAGCTTCTTATTTAAGGCCACCTTCTAATTCCAGAATAATTACATAAGAATGGTGTCAAACGGCACCGGTATAAATGAGTGGCCAAACCCAGAGCAGTGAGACTGTACTAATTTGTACCCACTTACACTTATTAAGCAACCAGTGCATAAATAATCAGAATAAAAAGCCTCTACATGTGTATTCAGGCTAGGAAGCTGTATGTAAGTATTTGCCCATGTGCGTGATATATGGTAAGTGAACACTGTGACATTCCTAAGTCAAAATGAAGGTGCGCAAACATCACAGGTATAATGTGCTCAAATATTAACTCTTGGTCTATGAGTCAATTGGGTATTCAAGGTTTAACTATGAAAATATTCCAGAATCTGCTGCAATTAAAGTGTCAAAAACTTTTACCATTCAGTAAATGCTGTAAAAGGTTACTAGGTTATAGATAACTCGAACACTTCCATACTCAAATTTTGCTCCATTGAAGTAATGGTGATGTGTTTCATTTTATTTATGTACTTCTTGGGAAAATGCATCTAAAACAATCTTAAGGCAAACAAAGACTTGTCCCACTTCTGAGGTCATATTTATGAACCAGATATTTTTACACTCAATACTAATATTAACCAAAATAAAATATTTTGAATTAAATACCAAGAGTAGTAACCCAGATGTTTTTGTATGTGTGAAGTTGGTACTTTCTCAACCAAAAGTTGAATTTAATTGAAGAGAAAGGTTTGAGTTGCAAGTAGTCAGGAGGTCCCACAAAGTTAATGACTATGATCAGCAGTAAAATGAAGAAACCAGCAGGAGAGCAGATTCAAGAAAGAGTCCGCATCTGGATGTGTACACAAACAGGCTCAAAAAATATCACTACCATGCTTTCCTCTATAGACAGAGCTTTGTATACTCTTAGTCCATTTGCTGTTTTTCCATCTTAGAATTCTGTGTGAATGAACTGCATGCAAGACACACACCGAGAAACTTCACCAAAAAGTCCAAGCAGTCAGTAAGAGAAAGGGTGGAATTTGGCAATGAATTAGAAGGATTTTCAGGCCAAGTAGAAGGTGAGAGGGAACAATCTCTAAGCTGGGGCTCCTTTGAGTAACCTGCCTTTTCTTTCCAGGCTATAAGGGGAGGGTCATATATTTCCTGAACATGATTCTCACTAGGGGCTTGATTTGATCAGCTGGGAATCAAATACCTGTGGCAGGGACACAACTATGTGAACCAGCCTCAAAAGCCATGCTGCAGCCCATCACACATTCACTCAAATAACAAGTGATGCTGCTGATGTCTTGTTTATGACAGCACTTTTCTAGATTGGTCTAGATTTCATAATATTTTGTCCATCAGTTCAGGTGTGAGTCACCAGACATTATTCTTCTCAAAACAGAACAAAACTGAATGATCAGCCAAGATGACAATGCAGCAGCATTATTCTTACACTAACAAAGGAAATGGGCCTATCATGCAGCAGTATAATCCATCACAAACTGGCTGAAAAAATCAGCCTGTAGTCAGCTTGCTTGTTCTGCTGCCTCAGATGTTGCAATTAAACATAGCTGTATTAACAAGTATCATCATTGTGCAGGGCTTACACCCAGGTGAATGAATGCAAAATCTGGATGCTGTTCACCAGGTAGCAGCAATTTTACTTCTGTTCATTGGTCCATACAAGATTATACTTGTCTCATCAGCAGATAATTTCCTTTTCCTCTTCTGTTCCTCACTAGTGGACAAGCATCCCGAGGCAAGTGCAATGGACCAGGAAATCTCAGCCCGGGACGACCATTTTCTGTCATTCAGATGAAGCTGGAGAATCCTAGCTTCACTTACAGTAATGATCAACCATTATTCCAATAACCAACTCAAAATGATTGATGGATCATGCTAACTGACATCCATCCTAGAAAATCTATTCTTTGCATGTCATTTTCTCCCCAGAGAAATAAGAAATAACTGAAGAATAAGTTTATTTTAATTTTAAAAAGACAAAGAGGAAAAAAGAGAGAGCTCACTGGCCAAATGTAATCTGCCTGGACTTCTCTGAAGATATTTCCACAATTATCCTGACTGGATCAGCATTTTCTGGATATTGTATGGATGTTATCGCATTGTAGAGCCCAGACAGAGCAGGAATAATTATTAAGTGATATGGAGTCATTGAGAAGTTATCGGAAGACAGAGAGGGAATACAATAAGCTGTCTGTCTTTTGTAAATGCAGCTTGTTTTCCACTGCTTAATCTTCATAGCACTGTGACAAGTTTTGAAAAGGAAATGTGCTACTTGCCCTTGTCGGTGAGACAGAGTTTAGTAAATAATCACAGATGCTGTAAATCCATGTTATCAGCTTATGTCTTGGTAGATTTTTCTTTGTAACAAAAACTTAAATGACTAAAATGATGGGATTTTCACCTTTACTTTTCTTTATATTAAAAAAAACCCCAAACCCTACAAAATTATATGCCTCACTGGTCTATATTTAGTCTATTGCAAACAGTTTCAGCACAGCATGAGGGAGAAACAGGAACTTTAAATTGTGTTACTCAAGTCACTCTGCTGACAAGACAGCTTTATAACTTCTAGAGCACATTCAGTTCACACAGAAGGAGAAGCTAGATGGAAGGGACTCCCAGACACAATGTCTTTCCTTGATCTGCTGCACACCTCCATGCATGCAAAGGAAGCACTTCAGAGATAGGCTTAGCATCAGTGGAAAGGACAGCATAATTGCAGTGGTATAGAGCTGCACTGCTATGTGTTCAGGATGGAATCCTGTTTTTTCCTTCCTTATTTTCAAACCAACATATCAAGCAGGATTCTGAAATGATCCATTCTCTCCATAACACAGCCTCCCCTCTGCAGAAGGAGGAACCCAGCTGTCTCTACACATCAAGGTGCTGACACACATCAGCACATCTATTCACCAAGACTCAATGGATTGTACTGACTGAAATGACTACTGGGAAAAAAAAAAAAAAAACAACCCTGCAATATTCCTGAGAAGATTTCATCTGCAAGTCCTAGCAAACTGTACTGCGTATGCCAGCTAATGACACCCTGAATAGAACTGAGTCACTTACCTGACTCCTTCATTGAGGTTGTAAAGTTCATGATCGGGGAGACCCTTACGCTGGAACACGGCTATTACTCCATTGTGGATACTGAAAGAGAACAGGAGTCATTAGCACCAGATCACATTTTAGAAAGGTATTGCTTCCACAGTAAGGCAAACCTTACTGTGGTTTCTTCCCAGATACCACGGTACCATTCTTAAAAGTAACAGATGACTGCTGGTTATATCTCAGATGCCTTAAAATGAATTATTCTCTAGAAAACAAATGACATACTTGAAAATCATCTCTTTTTGATTTTTGCAATTTCACAATTTTCATAGTTACACGCCTGAAATCAGTAGAAAATTCAGCCTCTATAGTCTAGGTATTGCTGTATAATTTTAAGCATATTTTTGCCTATATTTTATGGGCTCACTACAGAGATAATTTACAACTTCGCTATGATATCAGTTTGATATTTCCAGCATTGTTGGCATTTCAGTTATGATTATTTGATTTCTTTACTAACAAACCAGCATTTGTCAAGTCTGGACCTGAAGCTTTATTCATAATAAAGCATCAATTTTTTTAGAACAGGGTTATTGGAATCTCAAAAATGATTAGTTCTTTAAAAAGTAAAAAAGGCAGAAACACTACACAATTATGAATTTTAAGGCAATTTAATCAATCTCTTATTCATTTTTTAATAAAGGGGCAACATTTACAACAGTAGCGATTACAAAACACGGTTTTCTGTTTCTCAAGAATTTATGCTCTTGCTCCATCTAAAGAAAAACCAAGGCTGCATAAAAAGAACAACAGGTGGAGAGTTTCTGAGACAGACAAGAAGAAACAAAACTACGTGCTAACCATCTGTCCTACAGCAATGCTTTCTTTTCATTTTCATTGATGTATGTAACTGTTCTGAAGCAGATGTTTCTCAGTGGTGGTGATTTTCTTCTGCAATCAGCCACAAGTGAAACTATGATTGAGAGTGACAGAATTCTCTAGCTCAACAGAAAGCCACATATCCAGCACTGTCTGTAAGTGGAGCACATGGCCACCATCCCCACAAATGCTAAAATGCTGAATGACAAATCCCTGCAAAGTGTTGCACGTTTTACAGAGCAATCCACATGCTTGGCAGAGATGCTTACCAAACCCATGAATTTAACAAGACCACACCTCAAAAGGTTACTGAAATGAGTTCAAGTGCTTCAGGATGAAACCCTGAAATGCTCCTGAAACACACAGAATGCACTTAGGGTGATGACACATCAGTCTAAATCACTGAGCTGAGGTCTGAGGGCAAAGGTAAAGAAATGCGAGTGAAAAGTGAGACTAAACCTGTTCCAGTACTAGCAGAAGGAAGATAGAAGTCGCCTTCCTACCCCATCCCAATTCCATCCTTTAACACTTCACATCAGACTTCATCTTTGATTCCTAAAGAAAAGAGAAAAGAAGACTGATACAGTCTTCCCATCTGTTAGCTAATCCCCACACTTGTAGATGCTTGGTGATTTTTGCCACATTTAAACATGGAGCTAAAATCCTCAAAATACTAAGGGCTTTTAGGTTTCAGCTGGGCTGGAAGGGCCACCTTCAAGCAACCCCACTAAGGTTGAGTTCAGCCTTTACTTGACAGGCACACAGGTTTGTCCAGCCAGGAGGTGTGAGGATTTGGGACTGCCCTATCTACTGACAGAGCTGAAGTGAGTTCTGCTCATAAGGTCTCCAGAGACAACCTGATTCCTGTTGGTAGATGATCTCAGGAGGATTTCCAGGTGCATTCAACAACATCCTGCAAAGCCAAGAGATCACTGCAAGTGTCACAGCAAAGCTTGGTATTTGCTGCTTAGAAGGAGATGCAGAGGGTGTGTGGAAATCGCAGGGACCCACAAGAAACCTCCTTAGGTCCACATTGAAACAAAGCCCTTGTAATACTTGCTGGAAGCAGAGGAGTGAGCTGGCGAATAGAACTGCAGACCCAACAACATCAAACAGCAAAGAGAAGCTCAGTTGCATTCATCTGTGAGTAAAGGACATTAAAAGTGGTAGCTGAAGGATATGACACACTGGGAAGAAATGCACAAGCAGATCCAAATAGGAATTGCTATTGCCTTCTCTCTCTTGGTGCTAAGCACTCCCACACACGCAGTGCTCACCCTTTCCCCCATGCACTTATGTGCACACAGACATACATGATAATCTAACCCAGTTATTTTGGCTGGCTCAAGCAATCAAATTCCATTTATGACTATTTGAAAATTGGCAGCTAAATGTCTCCAGTACACAGCGAGGTGACTTGGGTATTTTAACATTATGAGTAATATGTGAAGTACGATTAATGTAGTGAATAAAACAAGCAGTCTTTACGCGCTCTTCTGATTCGGAAATGAACTCTGCAGTGTTCCTGCCATCCTTCTGCGGAGAGGAATGACTAAATCTCTCTCCTAGAAGCCACTATGCTCTCGCTTTCTCTCTGGCGCTTTTCTAAATGAGGGGGAGGTTTTCTCTTTCCAGCCTAGCAGGTCCATCATAATCCCTCAAAGAAATAGCACAGAACAAGGTTTTTTAATGAGAACTGTGAGTTGCAAGCACCTATAAACATGCTAGTGATGACGTTTCCATCCGCCTGGGATCCTCCTTGCAGTGAGGGATGGCTGTCTAACCCACAGGACAAGTCTTGGCCCCGCCACCCTGCTTTCCCATCTCAGCCAGCAGTGCATTCATGCAGGGTACAGGGATGCAGTTACAGTCACACCACTATGGTCTGCCACTCAATGTTTGCTCAGCAGAATACAGAGGAGTCAGAAAAATAGGAATGCTATTGATGATGTAAGCTGGTGTCAGAGTAATAAAAAGCTAGCATAAATCCTCTTAGTAAACGTAAGCTAATGAAAAACAACAGCAAATCCAACTGTGCTTAAAGTAATGCTATGGTTTCCTTAATAAGTGATTGTTTAAAAGGGTTTAGTCAGATCAGTACAACCTTTTGGTGAAAAGAAAGCCTGAGCTGCTGCTTACACACAAGATTTCTGCAAGATGGTTGAGGTGGGTGGATCACTTGTGCCTGCAACCAACCTCCATTGAGGTTTAAGCCATGATGTACATAATTAAACTTACATTTTAATGGTTAAGCTAAATTGGAAATGCTTTGTAAACTGCCTTCTTTAACTCTTTTACATCATGAAAGTTAATAATGGGTGTACTCATGCACTGATATTACTGCGAACACCCTCCCTGGAGCTGCTGTGCCTGTAAATGTGTGCTCAAGGTAAAGAAGAAAGCAGCACAGAAGACAAAACAGAGACAAAAAGAAACCAAAAATGGGTCTGTTCCTGAGGTACCCACACTCGGTAACAAATAAGGCTGTAATCTCTAATCAAGACCCCATATGATTTGAAGTCCAGGGTTATGAATGTTTCTGGTTTGCTGTATTGTACCAATAGACACATTTTCCACATAACTCCTCCTGGTCCTGCATTACTGTGCTTTCTCCTGTTTAAGGAAATGAGAAGTTTCTAGCAGAACCCCATCAGTATCTTCTGGTAGAGAAGGGGACTGGAAGGCTTTGTGCACCTGAGCAGTAAGCATCTGAAACATGCTGCAAAAAACCACAAATCTTGGGGTTATGGGATTATTGAACTTTTTGAGAGTAGAGTATTAATTCATATGCCAGCTCCTCAACTAGCAGGACTTGCGGCAAACTGCTGTGGCTCTGTTATTTAACATGTGCTATTTAATATGGATTAGTGTCCATGCACGAAGACACATTTTGCAAACACCTTTCCATACAAACACAAGCCATGGGCCATTCTTGGTGTGAAGACGATGGCTGGTATCCACAAGAAGAAATCATTTTGAGAAGCTAGCAGTGGAGCAGGAGGAAGCCTGGGAGGAGGCATGGGCCAGTGGGTGGTCAGGGAAGAGGTGAGTACCCACAGTAGGCTGAGCCCAGCAGTGGAAATTTGGATGAGACAACTGTGGAGATCACTGTTGAGTAGAAAATGGAAGTCTACAAAAACTTTAGAGCTTTGTAGAGTTGTCAGTTTTGTCCAGTATTTCAGTCTTGAAAAGAAGAAAGTGGAAACGACAAAAAAATGTTTTGATAATGTTCTTATGCTGCCTTTAGAATTAAGACAAAATGCTAGGTCACTCCAGTAGTTGCCACAAATTACAGCTGATTGCCAAAAGGTAACTACAGTTGAGAAGGCTCTCACAGCAGCAAAAATCAACCCAGAACACTAAGAAATTTCAGTTCCATGGAGAGATCACTCATTCCAGATTTGCCTGAGCCTGCAGAGAAGGCAGCAGTGGCTGAACTACAGCTACAGCACACAGCCCTGGCTTCCCCACTGTTTGCATTAGCATGGAGGGATACAGAAAACATCAATCCCTTTGTGCAAAGCACCGAGTTTGACACTCACTGTTGACACTCCCAACCACCCTAACAGTACAAATGCCAAGGCAGGGAGGGTGGGGCTTATTTTTCTGATTTTTACCTGATAGAAAACCCTTGCCAATGCAGCTTACCATCTCCAGCACATACACTTCACTTGAGTCATTAGCTGAGCACCCAGACACCACTGCCTTCTGCCCCACTGCTGGCTACTCCAGCCCTAAAATACCCCTGACATTTTTAAGAATCCAAAAAGGAAGAACTGTAGTGATCAAAACACGGTTTTCTGTCTCCCATACAACCTCGTAAGTAAACTTCAGAAGAGTGGGATGGATGAGTGGACAGTGAGGCGGACTGAGAACAAGTTAACCAACATAGCTCAGGGGATTGAAATCAGTGGCACAGTCTGTTTGGAGACCTGTGGCAAGCAATGTTTCCCGGAGGTCGGTACTGGGCCTGGTCTTCTTCAGTATCTTCATCAGTGAGCAGGATGAAGGGACAGAGTGCACGCTCCACAGGTTTGCTGATTATGAATCTGAAATGAGTGGCAGACACTCCAGAAGGCTGTGCTGCCATTCAATGAGATCTGGACAGGCTGGAGAGTTGGGTGCAGAGGAATTTGGTGAGGTTCAACAAGAGCAAGTGTAGAGTCTAGACCTCGGGAGGAGTAACTGCATGCATCATAACAGGCTAGGAACAGACCTGCTGGAAAGGAGCTCTGCAGAGAAGGACCTGGGCGTGCTGGTGGACAACAGGTTTACCATGAGCCAGCAGTGTGCCCTTGTGGCTACGAAGGCCAATGGTATCCTAATATGCACTAAAAAGAATGTGATCAGCAGGTCAAGGGAGGTGATCTTTTCCTTCTACTCTACCATGGTGAGGCTACATCTGAAATGCTGTGTCCAGATTTGGGCTCCCCAGTTCAACAACGACAGGAAATTTTGAGAGAGAGTCCCACAGAGGGTCACAAAGAACACTAGGAGTCTGAAGCATCTTCCTTATGACGAAAGGCTTAGAGCCCTGGGACTGTTCAGTCTGGAGGAGACTGAGATCTTACCAATATTTATAAATATCTGAAGTCTTGGAGTCAAATGGATGGGCCAGGCTCTATTTAGCAATGCCCAGCAAGAGAATAAAGGGCAATAGACACAAACTGGAACACAGGAAGTTCCATCTGAACATGAGGAAGAATTTCTTTACTTTGAGGGTGACAGAGCACACTTCTTAGAGAGGTCACAGAGTCTCTTTCTCTGGAGATATTCAAAACCCTCCTGGATACTTTCCTATGTAATCTACTGTACGGAATCTGTTTTAGCAGAGGGGGTGGACTAAATGATTTCCAGCCCCTACAATTCTGTGATTCTTTGACTCTATCAGATCAGAAACAGTTTGCCTGCAGAGCTGAGAAACAACTGCAAAACCTGACTGCCTGTTTGGTTCAACCAGATCACAGCCCCAGGTTGGGACCGCCTGGCAAAACACGTGGTGTGGCCCAACATTTTACTTCTGCAAAGCACGCAGGTGATTTTTGTTCTCTAAAGCAGTCATTACCCTCATATGCAAGCAGCGTGTGTGAAAATATCACTGTATTTTTTATTCAGTTTGCATATTTCTTTAGGTGAAATTGGTGAATATAAACAATATTGCGTGAATAATCTGCTAGCACCAAAGAGTTAAATGGCAATGTTTTTGAAAGGGAATAAATGACTGAGGGCTCCTTTTCCTTTGGACAGTATTTCGAATAGCTGATTTGCAATAATGAACCTGATAAAATTCCTTGAGGACACCCCTGCTCCAGAAAATACACTCATTTTTCTGAATTAGCTTAATTCAACCTGGACAATCCCACTTTCAGAACAGCTTCAGTCCAGCTGGAACTCCACAGGCTTTGTCCTTGTCAAGGTAACATTGCAGCTGCTAGCTCACTGATGTTTCTCAAATTTCTAGCCAAGGTAAAGCAATCTGCAAAGTGGGACATGCTGTAATTATGCACTGGATCATACAACTGAAAGTAAGCTGGTCTGCGAAACTGTCTTCAAAGAGTTTTGGAGACATTAGTTCCTCAACTTCACCAACTCTAAATGCTACTTTTGACTAATGAAAAAGTTGAGAAAGACAGGTGAAGCGACTTCCCTGAGATGTACCAAGATTTCATATTTTATGGAGCGTAAGATTATGGAAACTCTGGCTTCCGATCATACCTGCATTCAAACATGTACAGATGAGTCTGGAGAGCTCTGGGAAGCAGCTCCCACCACCAGTTCCTAGAGCAGTAGTGAAGGCTTGGCATGCTGCACTAGTGTGGTGGTGGTGTGGCCAAGTGGGAAGTCCCCTGCTCCCTTCCCCACCCTGCAGCTTGCCTCTGGCTCTCATCCATGTAAGCAAGTGCTCTCCAGAGGACTTCCACTGAAGGGACAGGAAAAAGAAGCCATTCCTCCTCACAAAGCCATGAATATTTCACAATATTTCTAAATAAATACTAAATACTGGACGAAGGAAGTTTTCCCAGTAGAAGTAGTAGATGCATATGGAATGCATCTATTACCATACATACTATATCTATTGAATATGGAATAGGTCTGGAATGTTTTCTCCACTAGAGAAGCCTCACTGTCATCTGGAAAAAAAAAAAAAGCATTCATGTTTAATTAGGAGATGAAATATGGTTCCTGTGACTGTAAAAATTACTTTACAGAAGTTATTGCACACATTACAACCCTATAAAAATTACCCCAAACCATAAAACTGATTCTGCACGTCTGCTTGGCTTTACTGCTGACATCACTGCCGTAACAAACATCTCATCTTTGTGCTCTTTGCCTTTTCATCACTACCTACTCCTTCACATTCCCCTTAGCTTCCCCATTTTCACACAGCAAGAGGACAGAAGCACCTTCCACTGGAGATTTATCCACAGCAGAGCCTGGGCAGCATCAGCCCTATCTGGGCAGTCTGTGCTGGCTTGCTCAGAAAGAAAAACTTTCTGGATTTTATTTGCCCCACCAGCAAGCTCAGGATTACAAACCCTGGGTTTCTTGGTCCGATTGGTTTAGTCAGCACTCAGCCCTCAGTTTTTGCCTGAAGCAGAAGAGGGCGGGGAGTAGGGGGAAGGAATTGAAGACAATTCTAGTGAAAAAATCTAAGCTATTTTAATCCAATGCAAATTCTGTGAGCTGTAATGAAACTGCATTGTTCCACTATGTTGCTGCGGGTTGCTAGTTAACATGCGACCTGTGAGCTGATGCACTGATCTTCTGCGGTTCGTGGAAACGCAGGTTCGGAAGAAGCTGTGATATAAAGCCTGATTTGCAGCTCGTCACCAATTTCTCTTGATCTAGCAGTGCCAAGAATTTCTACAGCACTTCTGTTTGAAGGTGATGGAAAGGTATTACATTGTCCTTTCCCACAACAGGCACTGCGTTCCCCCCTGCAAGCCCTGTCATTAGGCCTCAGAAGGCAGCAGTCTCCAGGCTGAGAGGCAGCAGAGGGGATATCTCTGGTCAGCCATACTGCAGTGACACAAAGCCTGATGGCAGAAGGGGGGCTGCAGGTCCTTGGCAGAGATGGCCCACTGAGCAGTAGTCCACAGAAAGTCTCACCAGTGTGACTGCAGCTTGGACCTGCTCCACCTCAAAGCAAAACACCACCAGCCACGTGCAGGGCAGAGTCTGCCATGAGGCTGTGCTTTCCCTCTCCCTAAACCCATTTTGATGCACTGGGTACAACACCTCTCTCCAAAGCAGATACCCGCACGGCACGCCCAGACAAAGCTGCTCCCAAGAAACAAAAAACGACAGTGCATTTAAATATAGCACAGCCAGGACTGGCGAGAGGGGCAAACTCTTCTGGTGTGTCCTGACTTCCTTGATCAGCAAGATCTCACGCTCAGTACTGCACAGAACATAGCAGCACAAGCAATTTGTTCATGCTAGCTCTTTGTTGGGGTGTGCTATTGCATCAGAAATAAAGGCTCTTCCCTCTGTCCCTGCAGCACAACCTGCTCACCATCTGCACCACTCGTCGCAGCTCCAGGGAGCTGCTAGTGCACACATGGAGATGCCCGCTTGGTTTGCAGGGCAGCACCAGGTGTCTCAAGTCCCATGCCACCAACCCATGGGGACACATGGCACAGCCACCAGTGCATGTGGAAAGGCAGCCCCAGCAGAAAGCAAGGCTGGGCAGGGTTCACACAGAGTAGTGGCACAGCTGCTCACAGACACCTCCGCTCACACCACGCAGCACCTCCCCTCCCTGCTGACTCCTCCCCAAGTACCACCACCATCAGGACACGGGAAGCAGCTCTGCAACATTCAAACAGCACGTTTTTCTGAGCAGGTACCCAGCCTCTTCTGTCACCAGTACAGTTTCAGCGCTCACTGTGCTGCTGACAGCAGATAGCCAGTTCATAATTCAAGTATGAACACACAGCAATGGGTGAGAGTGATGGGAGATGTGATATTTTAAAAATCTTATTATAATTGCTTAAAACTGAAATACCTTTAAAAATGCATCTATAATTCTCCAATATTTTTCTTCCTGTGACCTCCAGACAATTATAAAACATGAGTGAAACTTTCCATGCAGTGACACAGTCCTCAGGACTCAGAGGCTTAGACTCATCTTTCAGTGTCACTTCATTCTTCATTCATTGAATCTCTGTGCTCGGTGGCTCACTCAAGATCAAATGTTTGCAATTTTTTTTTTTTTTACCGAACAGTAATAAAATTCAGATGTATAAGAACACAACCAGGGACTATTTTTCCTTGCCCAAAATGCAGATGCATAAACACACATGCAAACAGAAACAAACAACTTTTTGCACTGAAGTGAATAAACTGAGTATTTCAGCAAATCTGCATCAACCATCAGCAGTACAGTCATGTGGATAAAAATAACATATATATGAATTTTAATAATTGTAAATATATTTTTGTATATAACGTATATATATACAATTGTTTATATATATATAATGAATGTGTATATATATGAATTCTATTAATTGTATATATATGAATTTTGAGTAAAATAAACCAAATCCACTTTGAATGAGAATATCCAGATGGACTCAAGGACCTATATGCAGCCAGATCTTTTGCAACGAGTCCTTGCCCGTCACAACAGAGGAGCTGAGCCATCTGCAGGAAGCACTGCTTGCTATCAGCCTGCAGAGAAAGTCTAACAGCAAGGTGAATACAAGCTACTCCGGCCTTTCGCCGGGTGTCAGCAAGCCAGGCTGCCTGTGCCTTCTTGGCACAGCATGGGGTAGCCGGGGGGTGGCAGGACATGGTGCAGGAGCTTACCTGTTCCAGGTAGCGTTGGAGCAGGCCCGTCGCTGCTGGGTCCCCCGCTCATCCAAGGCTGCCTGCTCTCTCTTGCCCAGATCACTGAGGCTGGGCGAACTCATGAACTTCAACCTGCGAAGAGTCCTCATGGTCAAATGTGTGTTTGCGCGTGGCAGCTACAGATACACCATCCTGTTTACACACACACACGCGCAGCTGGAGCAGCAGCAGCAGCAGCAATGCGAGCAGTTCCCTCCGTTTGCTGTTCAAAAAAGAAACTTAAAAAAAAAAGAAGAGAGAACCAGTCTCTACGGAGCACACCTCTGCCAGCAAGAAAACAAACCTTTAATCAGATCAACTCTGACGTCATGAATTGTGGTTAATAATTTCTCCAGTCCTTTTAAAAAACAAAAGCCGAGCTCCCGGCTGCGGCTTAGGCACTTTGAAGGGGCCCCTACAGCCCCCAGCACAGGGCTGCTCCCACCCCAGAGCCAGGGCCCCAAGCCCTGGGGCGCTCCACCTGCCCCGGGACCTGCGTTCCCCTGGGGCCCAGCCCTGCCAGCTCTGCTCAGCCCGCCTCTCTGCGTTCGTGATGGAAATGAAACTGGAGGGCAACAGACACACACACACACACAAGAAAAAAAAAAAAAAAAAAAAGTAGAAAAAAACAACACCCAAGCAACCAATACTGATGCGCTGAGAGTTTATTGGCAAGTTTCATAACTGCCTGTGCCCTGCCATGTTACAACACTGCACTCATGTGCTCTCGCTGCCTCACTCGTACAGACACACACAGTACCGCGGCACCAGGAGCGGTCACACAGAACAGCTGCAGGACGGAAACTGGAAGTGTGGTTCTGCCCTTTTGAGGAGTTTTTGGTGAGTCTGATGCCTGGTCTGTCTGTCTCTTCGTAGAATAATGTAGCAACTGCATGACTTGGGGCATAACAAGCTCCTTTAGAAGCCCCAGGTGCCTTATGTTCGAAGGAGAAATCTCTCAGAGCACTGAGGCTGAGGCTGTGCTGCTACAAGATCCCACCAGGCTCTGTTTGCTGCTGCTCACTTCAGATTCTGCTCTGTGCCCAGGACAGCCCCGCTCCCCAGTGGGGAGGGAGCCAACAGGACGGCGACAGCTCCCTCAGAAAGTAAGCAGGCTGCAACAAGAGTGAGCTGCAGTGCAAAGACCACTCCTGTCGCTTCAAAGCATCTGGCGAGAGCTGCGAGGGCTCCTTGCAGAGCAGCCTGGCAGAAAAGGGGGCTGCAGTACAGAAAGACTTGTCTTCTCCTTTTCTATTTTCATCTGTGATAACTTACTGTCTAGATCCAGGCTACGAGTAGATTTTTTTGTGCTCAAATAGTATCTCAAGGATGATATTACAGGAGAACTGATTTGTTTTTTTTAACCATGAGATCTGCCCTCTCTGCATCAGTTATTGAAATATCTCAGTAATATCTAATTCCTTCCGCTACTCACCAAAACTCAGCTAAGCTTCTTGCCTATCAATATTCACTTCCCAAATTTATATTTGGTAGTACCTTCATGGGAACTAGTAGCTGAATTTCACAGGAAAAAAAAAAACAACTCTTTTCACCTTGCACTAGTTTTAATAGTAGTAGTAGTATCCACTGTTTGGGTCGGTGCTAATACTCATTGCCCTTTCCAATCCAAAAATCTGAGTACACAAACGAGTGTTGCAGCACACAATATGTAACACTGCACTTTGGAAGGGACTTACAGCTCCAAAACTGACTTATGGACAAAGCACTGCTATTGCTGGTCTCTTCCAGATGTGTGAATCCCTCAGAAAAACAAAAACAAACAACAATCTACTGTGTACACAGCCACTAAAGGAAACAAACACAACAATACACTGCTGTATTCCGAGGAATGAGACAAATCAGCCACCAAAAGTAGACACGGCAGAAGAATGCTCTGTTCACAGAGGATGAAGGGCACCCAATTTCTGTGGACAACACAGCCAGCGAGAGCAGGGGAACATGACTCAGCCTGAGCTTTAGGTGAAGCTTCTGATAAAAGTGCACCTACCGCTTTAAGGGACACAACCAGTTAGACAAATCTCTGGCAATAGGATTCCATCTAATTTCATTTTCCACCTAGCTTGGTTGCTTTTGTGCTGCTCACGTGCTGTGAATTCGAGAGGCCTTGCAAATGTTATTATCCTGAATTAAACCTCTGCATTTTTTTAACTCTTTGTTTCCTTGGCAATACTGAAGACTTTGTGAACTGCACCCTATCGATACCAGTACGCCAGCAGCTACATAATAATATTTCATCTGGCTTATCTTTCTCTCGAAATCCTCCACTGCCTAAATTGATCAAATCCAAAGAGCTGTTGTGCTGGATGCGCCAGCCAGCGCTGCAAAGAGCAGAGCTTGGCTTCCTCATAAAGCACCAAGTCCCAAGAGAAGAAAAATCATAGAATCATCACAGAATTATAGAATGGCCTGGGTTAAAAAGGACCTCAAAGACCATCTAGTTTCAACCCCCTGCTATATGCAGGGTTTCCAACCAGCAGACCAGGCTGCCCAGAGCCACATCCAGCCTGGCCTTGAATGCCTCCAGGGATGGGGCATCCACAACCTCCTTGGGCAACCTGTTCCAGTGTGTCACCACCCTCTGTGTGAAAAACTTCCTCCTAATATCTAACCTAAACCTCCTTTGTCTTAGTTTAAAACCATTCCCCTTTGTCCTATCAAAAAAAATCTTTTTCCCTCTGTTGAAAGGTTACACAGCAGTCAGACTGTTTTCATGTCCCCTCATCCTTAGCCAGCACTGGACTCAGCATCTAGCAAGCACACAGTACAAAGGAAAAGCAGCATTCCAGTTTCCTGAAACATTTCTGACACAGGTAGCAGAGGCAGGCTTGGTCTATGCTTCCTGCTCCTTCCTATGAGTCCACCTGATCAAATGTTGACTTATGATAAAATTAATCACTCTCAACAAGGGTTACCTCGCCCATAATTACAGAGCAATACTTCACATTTACATTTTGCTGTACATCCTGGCACGTCTTGGACTTCATAGCATTCATTAATTCAGCCTGAAGAGCTCTGGGGTACTAAGACAGAACACAGGATCTGTACTTTGGTATTCCCAGTGAAGAGGAAAAAGGTGAGGTGAACTGCAGGGCCACCCAGAGAGCAGGCAGCAGAGATGCCAAGGGAGCCCAGGGCTTGAAGTGCTTGTTCCAGCACAGTTCCCAGGGGATGCTGCAGGGCCAGGGTGGTCAGAGTGTGATGCAGGGTGGAACTCTTCAATGGGGCCTGAAGTGCAGCTGCTCCTCAGGAGATACTTGTGAAGTAGTCACAGCCCAACGACTGAGGGGATGAATGGCAGAGAGCACTCACTATTGGCCCCCAAGAGGGCTGGAAGCCCTAACCAGGGTGGCTGGGAGGGAGAGGCTGGCAGGCAGAGGCCCTCCATGGGCTCGATAACAAGCTTCTTAAACAGCAACTTGGCTCAGCATGCTTGTAGAGCCGAGGCTCCAAAGCACTATTCCATTAATTTGGTTAATCTCTGTACACAGTACCCTGTGCTAATGCCATTTTACTTGCAAGAAGCTTGCGGCTCAAAGGTTAAGTGATTTCAACAAAGCCCCACAGCTACCTCAGTGCAGCAGGAAAACCCAGCGCCAGCACCTGCTCCCACCCTTCCCCCCAACATCTCCCCATCAAACCAAGCCTGTCTCCACTCAGAGCTGCCTTCTTTCATATGGGGTCCCGCATCCCATGGGTGACTGTGGTACATCCCTCAGTCTCCACAGTGCCTGAGATGAAGCCAGGCATCCTGCAAGGCAACAACACTGCTTGCCTGCAACTGCCTGCAGGCCTCAAACAACACACAGGGACACCAATATATATTGTGTATGTATAATGACCCAGCATAACTCTGCAGTTATTGCTGATGTGCCTGTAACGCCTGTACCAATCCTTTGGGAGATGGGGCTGAAAAACAGCACTGCTGCCCCTTGAAACTGTCAGCAGAATTCCAGGCAGACCTCCCCCAAACACAGTTTCACAAAAATGAGATTTGCCTAAAAAAAAAGAAGAAAAAAAAGCTATGTTGTATTTACTTAACTTTATACCAGTCTCTACAGTACAATCTTGCTGGCTTCTTACAAGTTTCTTATGGACTGGGATGAGATGGGAAAGAAAACAAAAAATAATGTTTATGAGCAGGGATACCAGGAAATTCACAATATATGAAATCCTTAATAAAACTGCCAATGCTGTGACCACTGTGGGTCAGCTGTTCTGCTGACAGGTTAGCACTGCGGAAGTAATGGTGCAAGCGTGGGGACATAATGAGGAAGAGAATCTGCCATGTCAGCTTTATTCAGCACAGCCTTGGCAACTGAATGCATGCAAATTTTAACTGGAGAAAAAATATATATATATATCTCCTTCCCTTTTGGGGAAGAGAACAGAAATCTTTACAGAAATGCTGAACAGTGCATGCTCTGCATGCAAAGAACAAAGAGGAAAAGCACAGCTATGGCAGCAAGGAGTTAAAAAGCTCCCCACTGCAGTTTTTCATAAAGCACACCACAAAACTTGGGGCATGCCTAAACACATGCCAAAGCTCAGGAATTAGTCTTCGGAAAAACCACCCTTCTTAAAGGTGCAGCACAGAAGGGCAGAGGGAATGAGGCTGTCAGGAAACGCATGAAGAGTGGAAGGGAAAACGAACCTTATGACTCATCAGTTCCTTTGCTACAATAGCCACATAAAGCTCCTTTATCATCAGAAAACAAAGAATAAAGAGAATAAAGATAGTATAAAGCCACATAGGGTCTATTTACACCCCACCCCCTCCATCCCATTCATTTTGCAGCCCCTGGAGATAAAGGAACTCTCAAGGGCAGTTTCTGCCTGGCATTTTTGAGACTGGTCATAGGACAGCCTCAGCTTTGCTGGCTGTTTCTTTTACCTCTGCCCTCATTACAGCCAAGCACCGATTTATAGGGTGCACCTGGCCTTACAGGGCCCCCTAAGCCTCTGAAACGCCTCCTGTGCCCTCCTGCACTGCTGCGACCACCAGTGCCAGCCTTCAGAGAGTGCTGGCATTTCAATCTAGCAGCATTTCAATCTAGCAATACTTAGATAAACAC